GTGGCGTCCCGGCGGGAGGAAGTGGAGCAGAAAGCTCTGGCTCTCCGTCTGGGAGCCTTACTCCCTCCGCCCTCGTTTCCCACATGCCCAGAGGCACAGTGTCCGGCTGAGGCCGAGGCGCATCAACCCACTGCCCCGCTGGTCCCGCGCCGCCGCAGGGTCTCCACCCAGGGAAGTTTTCCCCCTCCCCCAGCTTCCCCCTGTCCTGACGGGCCGAGTCGCCTCCCCGCTCCGTGCTCCTAGTCTGCACTAGGGTGCTAATGCGTTTTCCTGATCCCCTGTTTTGTGGGATTGAAAAAGGCAGCGTTGAGGTGCACATTTCTCAGGGTTTAGGAAAGGACTGAAGAATGAGGTCAATTTTTCCTCTTACCTGACTCTCCTCTTGCTGCTCCCTCTGGATCAAATTACAAGTTTTCTCTAATGGGATTTTTGAAAGTAGGTAACAAGTAGCGTTCTACATCTAATTGACTTTTAAAAAAAAATAAATCCCACCTCTTACTCCAACAAGTTTTTTTCTTATCTCCTCCACCCCACAAGAAATACCAAAAATGTTTCCTATCTTTAATCAAGCTATGTAAACAATCAACAAAATACTGCAACTAAGCTGATCTTTCACATACATAAAGGGATATTGCTAGGTAGGAAGCCGGGCAAAGATGTTTCAGCAACATCTGTTGATCGAAGATACAAGAATGAAAAAGAGATTAGGGGATGAAACAGGCAATGTTGGAGGAAAACAGTGAATTTTGCTAGAAAATCAAAAGCATAATTCCTTACATTTGTTTTACGCAGTTCTCAAAGGGTGGTCCCAACACCAGCAATATCAGCATCATCTGAGAATTTATGCAAAATTCAAATTCGGGAACCCCACCCCACATCTACTGAATCTAAACCTGCTGCTATTGCTAAATCAGAAACAGCAATCTGGGTCTTTGTAAATCTTCCTAATGATTTTGATGCATATTAATATATCACTGGTGTAACACTTTACAAAATATTTTCAAATACATTTTGCTCTTGAACCTCATAAACCTGCGATGCAAGTAAGGAATTATTAGCGTGGTTTTATATATAAAAAAACGATTTTCAAGCCACATTTAATTGTGAGTTAAACATGTTTCCAATAATAGCACTCCAGGAATGGGTACAAATTCTTTACTATGCCAACTCTTTCTGATTTACCAGTTACCTCTCCAGCCATTCTTCAGTCTCCTTTGCAGGCCTTTCTTCTGCCTGTCCTCTAAATGTTGGTGCTCCTCAGGTCTCTATCTTAATGCCATCTTCTCTTTTAACCCTGTGCACTATCTTCAGAAGTGCTCTCAATTGCCGTCCTTACCCTGATGAGTCATAAGTCCATGATGCCAGGCCAAATCTATTCTGAGCCTAAGATCCATATAACCAATTGCCTGTCTGCCCCCTCCACTTCTCTGTCCCATAAGCAATTCCAGCTTAACCTGTATCTTACCTCCAAACCCTGCTCTTCTTCTTTTGTTTTCCACCACTTCGCACCCAAGCCAAAATACTCACTAATAACCCTGAACTTCTCCCTAGCCCTCTTCATCCACCTAAATTCCTTCAGTGCGCCCTACTGTTCTCAGTGTGGAATTGTGTTTCTTGCAGGTTACCACCTGATGCCTGTCATCTCCCATTCTTCACTGTCCATCTTTCCCCTCACACTCTCCATACCAGTGTCTCTAATCAAAGTATGGAGACAGAGAATAAAGAACTTTTGGGGCGGAGCAAGACACCTTTCTCTTTAAGTCTCAGTAGAAAGGCTTTTTTCTGTGCTAGCTGATAGTGACAGTAAGTCACACATTTAATTTGATGATGCAATGTTTTTATATTATGCTTGGTGGAAATTGGCCATAAGCAGGTATGTGACCAACTCTTGCAAGCTCTCAGGACTTTAGATCTTAGTGGAGAGATAGAATTGGAATTTTGTGAACTCAAGATCTTTATCCTGAGGATTAATTTTGATTTCTATGTCTAGTGGGCACAATACCCCAGAGATTTCAAAACCCAGTACATTCTCTGCATCAAGTACAGAGAATGTGTGGATCAAGAAGGCTCTGGGGATTTAAACCCATGTTGTTCTGTAGAATCATCACACCACAGTTGGTGATGGTTCCTATATAGAGAGGATTCAAAAAAGTAAAAATAGTACAGTCCATGCCCTAGCTGGCTTGGCTCAGTGGTTAGAGCATTGGCCCGCGGACTGAAGTGTCTTGGGTTCAATTCCCGTCAAGGGCACGTACCTTGGTTGCAGGTTTGATCCCCTGCCCCAGTCAGGGTAAGTGTGAGAGGCAACCAATGGATGTGTCTCTCTCACATCAATGTTTCTCTCTCCCTTCCACTCTCTGAAAAGCAATGGGAAAAAATATCCTCAGGTGAGGAATAAATAAATAAAAATGCTACAGTCCAGCTGACTTCAATTTACCTAAGTCTGATATCAATAGTAATAAAAGGCAAGCAGCTGGTTGTAAAACAGGTATGTGATTGGAAGAATAATGGACCCCCAAAGATGTCCACATTCTAATCCCCAAAACCTAAAAATGGGGAGGGGTGTTACCTTACTTGACAAAATGGATTTGCAGATGTGATCAAGTGAAGGATTTTGAGATAGGGAGACTTTCTTCAATTACGTAGGTGGGCCCAGTGTAACCGCAGGGTCCTTATAAGAGTCTCAGTCTCAGAGAGATGTGATGACAGTAGCAGAGGTCAGAATGGTGTGAATACTGGCTTCGAGGATGGAAGCCAAAGAAGATGAGCAGTCTCTAGAAGCTCACAAAATCAAGGAACAAATTCTGCCTTAGAGCCTCCAGAAAGAATGCAGCCTCACCAACCCTTTCATTTTAGGGCTTCTGACCATCACAACTGTAATTAATAAGTTTGTGTTGAAGTCACTGAGTTTTTGGTCATTTGTTACAACAGCAATGGGAAACCAGTAAAATCACAGTCATAAGAAATCAGTTTTCATCGCTACAGCATCGTAAGCTGTATTGTAACCACCATAATGCCCTATAGCTGCTGCAGGCCCTGTCATAACAATCCCTGTGTCTCAAATGTTTACGTATTCCTATTTTACTGACATGCCCATTAGGAAAGAATTGGAGAGATATGCCTTCTCCCATGTCGTGTAAAATTAGGATGCCCTCTACTGAGGCATATTAAACTAAATAAAATATGTTCTATTTCTTTGATGTCTCCCATTGGTGCAACTCAAACACAATAAACCAGTCAAGCTGTACAGCCACTCTCAGCCCTCCCCCTACCAATGCGAGCCCAGCCAGGATCCTGACCTTGGACTCAGCGTTACTGCTAGCACTGCTGTTACCAATCTCCAGGACCCAGAAAAAGGGAAATAAGCAGAGACTTGAAACAGAGAGACATGGCAAGAAGTTAAACTGAGACAGAAGATGACTGAGAGGAAAACAAGATAAAGTGAAAAAATGAAGAAGGTAAAAGAAAAGAGTTTTTTAAGTAGATAGAGTGTTAATTTTTTTAAAAGGCACAATTCACTCCCCTGTGTCTCTAAGAGGCTGAACAATAGAAGATACATAGCATAGAGGTGAACAAACACATACCTAATATTCCAATGTCATATGTGTATTTGGAAAGATATCCTGATCAAAATAAGTAACTAGGATAATCATATTATGCTGTTTTTAGGTATTAATTACATGACAGAAAAATATCTAAGTTTGGTTAGAAAATATCTTTTAGCACCATCAATTTTTTTGTAGCTGTTGCTGTGTGTTTTTTAAACATGTCTTTACTGATTTCAGAGAGAGAAAGGGAGAGGGAGAGAGAGATAGAAACATCAATGATGAGAGAGTCATTGATCGGCTGCCTCCTGCACACCCCCTACTGAGGATCAAGCCCGAAACCAGTGCATGTGCCCTGATCTGGAATCAAACAGTGATGTCCTGGATCCTAGGTCCATGCTCAACCACTGAGCCATGCCAGCTGGGTGAGCACCATCAATTTTTGAGGCTAGTTTCCTAAAAC